AACAATAAAGAATTTATTGAAATATCAACAATTGATAGAAGCCAAAGTAGCATGGATAATATAGCATAATTATACTTTTAAACAGTGTCTGTTTTAAATAATTATGAATGAAATGCGATGAATTGTAGTTTTGTCTCAATTATTTAAACGATGGCTTCTTTTAGATAAATATATATACGGTAGACTAATTTGGTCAGTAAATTCAAACGTTGGATTTGTTTTGTATAATAAGCATATTATATTTTATGTGTTAAATGTTTAACAATGAAAAACGATAATGGTTAAATATATTTTTATTTCTTATTGGTTAACAGATAACGTAAAATAATGACACATATATGATACTATCGGTTCTCATATCGTTTCTCAAAAAACATCTATAGCCGAATTGATATTGGACTAACAGTTTTTCAGATCGTTCCTGATTTTCTTTTGAATTATCGAATCGATATCACCCCTACAGTTTTCTTCGTAAGATGATGTATAAAAAAACCATGTTTTAATTTCTATTGAAGTTTATCTTGTGTATCAGTATTGATGTATAATCCTTTTATTCAGTTTTGTTTATCACAAAATGATAATAAAAAAATTAGATTTTAATTTGCAAATTAAACCTTGCATATCGAGATCATCTTAGTACCCACCTCTCAATCTTGTATGAGTCCAGGATAGGTGGGTTGGTTGGTGATCCCGGATATATAATTAGACAATTCTGATCTTTCGTGAGGAGAAATTAAAAGATAATTGCAGAGAATTAATGTACTCGTGTACAAAGAATGGGTTAGAAAAGTCCACGACAATTCATATATGCCCATAAAATGAACAAGGGACTGAATACACCTAGACTTTTTTACTACTCCCTCCGTCTCATAAAATAGTTCCCGCATTGACTTGGATCGGAGTTTAAGAAAGTGGGAATAAAGTGTAAATATATAGTCGTGATTGAGTAAGAAAAAGGTAAATGAATGTGAGTCACACAAAACTTTCCAAAAAGGAAATGAGAACTATTTTTTGGGACGACTCAAAAAGGAAACCGAAAACTATTTTGCGGGACGGAGTGAGTATTTCATAAGTATACATAGAATAGATGTAGACTTTTTTAAACTTTTAAAAATATACATTCAGTACACTTAACTTTTAAAATTCGTTATTCAATACACTTCCCAAAACATAAATAAAATCATAAATAAAATAGTTTTAACTCTAGGAGAGTAGGAGTATGATACTCATCATATAGGTCATCCCATCATATATACCACAATTGGTTTCTCACGAACTGGGATTTTGGAATAAACACATTCCATGAATAACGGACATGAGTCACATGACTTTTAAGTCAATTATTATTTTAAAAGCAATCACAACCTTAAAAACAAAGCTTGCGTCGTTTAGTTATTAAAACCCTAAAGCTTGCGTCCTTTAGCTATTAAAACCGCTGCGTCGTTTAGCTATTAAAATCATTTTTGATTTTAGAATTTAAAATATTGAATATGACTACTCAATGAACACGACTCATGCACAACCACCATTAGAAGCCTTCAATTATTATTATTATTATTATTATTATTATTATTATTATTATTATTATTATTATTTAAGTTATGATAACTAAATCACTAATTATGTAACACTTGTTGAGTTCCTTCGTAATTGAGAAGTTCATGAGAATTTTAATATATTGAAGAGATATCCATAACAAAGGAGTATAGGAGGCTAGAAGAAGAGCAAAGAAAGTTGTGAAGAAAGTCAGAGGAAAAGTGATCAAGAAGTTGTATGTAAAATTGGACTCTAAGGAAGGAGAAAAGGACATCTACAGACTTGCTCGCCTTCGTGACCGTATGACTCAAGATATCGAAAAAGTTAAGTGTGTGAATGATGTCGATCAAAGGGTACTAATGGAGGACGAGAAAATAAAAGAGAGATGGAGGTCATACTTTGATACCTTGTTCAACGGGAATAAAGTGCAAGGAATTGTATGGTAAATCGGGACTTCGTGAGAAGGATCCAAACAACAGAAGCTAAAGAGGCTATGAGAAAAATGGGGTGAAAGAAAACACTGGGCCTAGATGCCATACCGATAGAACACTCAGAAGAAATGTGGAACTCTCTAGATTATTCTAAAAGATTAGAAAAGTTTGTTAATTCTTCTTGGAAGACTCTAGAAGTGTAGTGATGTATAGAGAATAATAGAGAACCTTGATAAGATAAGTAGAAATCGGGTTGGTGCTCCTCATTTCTATGTGAGAGCCTTGTGACAGTCTCCTTGAGTGATGAGAGAGAGCCTTGAGGAGAACTCTTGAGTGAGTGAGAGTGAGAACCTCCTTGAGAGATAATTGAGAGCTTTCTTATGAGAGACAGAGATACAAGGATGTCAAGTGATGAGTGTGAGTGAATAACATTCTTGATGGTGAGAGAAGATGATCCAAGAAGGCATCTCGTGAGTAAGGTAGAGTGAAGTAGTCTCAAATACAAAGAGTAAAGTGAGCCAGATGTTTACATGTAAAATATCTCTTGTACATTTCAATTGCATAAACAAAGTGATATTGTTAGATTGAGTATTTATATTACGAGTGGGGAGTGAGTGTACGAATATGATGATTAAATATCATAATAAACACCTGAACTCCATTTGCAAATAATTTCCAATAACCAATAGATGGAAAGTAATAACTTTTTCTAAAAAGTTATTATCAATATTAAACATAAGGGTAATTATGTACAATTTAATGAGCTGAGCAAAAACATGAATAAAAATTTGTTTTTGATATCATAATTAAATACTTATAAATGAAGAAGGGGACGTGAGGGCAAGAGGAGGAGGAATACCTGTTCCCAACTTCCCAATAGTTTTTAATCTTTAATTTGTTGTTTAAGGTTTATAATAACAAAAATATGAAGTGTTTGAAAATCTTTCACCAAAAAAGGTAAATTTGAAGAAAATTTTGGACAACCTAGGAGAGAAACAGAGATGAGGGAGCATACTCGTACGGGTAGTTCAGTTGCTTCAGTGGTGAGAAATTTGGATCAAGTGACCAAGGTTCGAAACCCGCAGCGCCGTGTGGAGGTCACAGAACCTGAAATAAGGCTGGGGTTCTGGTACGCACGGGAAAAAGGCCTACCATCATTGGGTCGACTGAGTCACTGTGATTAACATTCTCCCAAAAATGCTGTCGGATCAAGATATGGGGGGCTCTTGGGGTGGGAGATTACACGTTTTGGACCGAGAGATGAAGGAGCATCTACGTATTCCCGAGATACTGCGCTAATTAATGAAAAAGTAAGTCTAAATATAGTGCAACAAGTTAACAATATAAGCGTACAATTATTTTTCAGAGGGACCGAAATAGTGGGTCTCGTACCCGGACAAGACAACACACTGACGGAGTGCCGGGGAGTAGGAAACTCAAACCAATCATGGCCTCAAACAAATAAAGAGCCTCCTTACCCTAATCGCACGGGTAGCTCAGTTGGTCAAATGACGGAAGATTTGGATCAATGGACCAAGGTTCGAATCCTCGCAACGACCGGATGAAGGTCACAGAACCTCAAATAAGACCGAGCCTCTGATGCGCACGGGTGTATGAGCCTACTGTCATTCTGCTGACTGAGTCACCGTGACTAACCTCCCAACCATCCTATCGAGTCTGGGTGGGGGCTCCTGAGTGGGAGATTCCACCTTTTTTGGATCAATAAAGAGCTTCCTTTGTTGTTGGATTTTGATGAAATTTCTGAAATTTTAACTTAAGTGGTTGGATTAATAGATTCTGGTTTATAAAAAATTACTCCCTCCGTCCCGAAATTATTGTCCTGCTTTCCTTTTCGATCCGTCCCGAAATAATTATCTCCTTTTCTTATTTGGTAAACAAATCTTTACAAAATAATGTCAAACAGTGCAAAACAGTGTCAAACAGTGTCGCTACAGTGCCAAAACAGTGTCGCTACAGTGTGAAGTCAACTTCACTTTCTTAATCTGTGTGAAGGTCAAACCAGGACAATTATTTCAGGACGGAGGTAGTATACTTAAAATATATTTATTAATAAAATAAAGAAAATATTACATGAAAAATATTTAGAATAGTTTTCTATAATAATTTCGACCAATACAACCAGAAAAGTAACTTTAATATAATCTTTTCTTATCATTACACGATCTAGCGCGCGAAATAAAAAGTTACATACTCCTTCCGTTTTTTTATTGCAACAGTTCACTTCTCACGTTTGCCAACGCACAAGTTGGACTATTAATATCTTTATTTCTTTATCAGTAAAAAATTAAAAAAATTAGATTTTGAAAATCTAAAGTGAGAAGAATTTAACAATATTTTTTTTAAAAAATAATTTATAATACATTAATAAATACTACCTCCGTCCCAATTTACTTAGCCAAACTTGACTTTTCAAGTCAACGTCGTCTAACTTTGACCGATTATATGTTTATATAGAGAAAGTATTGATAATATGAAAATGTTCTTTGTTAAAAACACTATCGGGAAATTTACCATATTCATCCCGTAACTTTCGGCCGTTATCATTATTAGTCCTGTAATTTTAGTCACTTGCAAATTTGGTCTTCTAACTAATTAATATTTGTGATTTAAGGATTTTTTCCTTGAAAAGTACACTTTCCGGCAATAGCATATATACCGGAAAAAATGTCGTCGACGTCGAACTTTTCCGCCGGAAAATATACTTTCCGGTGGGAAAGTCCTTAAATTACAAAGATTTATTAGTTACAGGACCAAATTTGCTAGTTCTTAAAGTTACAGGACCAAAAACGATAACAACCGAAAGTTACAGGACTAAAATTGTAAATCTTCCAACACTATGATAAAAGTATAAAATTATTAAGACATATGTAGTAAAATATTATCAAAGTAGAATATGTGAATAGTGTAAAAAATCTAATGTTACGATTAAAAGAAAAAAAGAGCTAGTATTTAATAAAAAAATTGATTGATAAAAGTCACAAAATGTGCCAAGATTGTACGTATGTACAATGAATGTGCTATTCCTTTCCACTTTCCCCGCTCTCTGTCTTCTTTCTCCTCACCTTCTTGAAGTCGGTGGATATTTGTATAAAGGAATAACTCTTAATTAAACTTCTATGGTATGGGACTGATGGGAGTTTGTTCATCAGACGAAAAGCAGAAGAAAACAATGGTGGAAGAAGAAGAGAAACAGCCTCTCTTGGGAGCTTCTCCCGCCCCACAAGGTGGCTTCAGAACCATGCCCTTCATTGCTGGTAATACATACTCCATATTATTGTACCCAATTCTTCTCCATCATCGTCCATCATATTTTGAGCCCGTTTGGTAGCATGAAAATCGGTTGATTTGGCTGATTCTGTTGAAATTTATGAAGTTCTGGCTGAAGTGACTGTATTGTCTGATTCTGTTAATTTAAGAAAAGATTATGTTTAAAATATATTTTATTAATAAAATAAAGAAAAAATTATATGTAAAAATAGTTAAAATGATCATCTACAGTAACTTCAACCAATACAGTCAGAAAAGTAACTTCAATCTTACTTTTATTTCTTCTTCTCCGATAAAGTTGGTTGGTAAAAATGCCTGTTATGCTATCTCACACTGAGGTAACATAAAAAGTACAGTTTGAACCGGCGGCGTAGACAGAAGTCTACGGTTAGGGTGGTTGGGCTTTGAAACTGTTACATTGCGGGGTACAAAATTTAAAATATCAACGTATTATATACTCCGTATAGTTTAAAGTATTTATACATAATATACATCTAACAATTTTTTTCTTGAAGGAGTCGAGGCCTCCTCAAGACCCTCCCTGTCTCCACCCCTGGTTTGAACTGCCTCTCTTGTTATAGAATTGAATTTATGAACAAGATCAATTATTGAAAATTCATAAAATTTGCTAGTTAAATAAATGATAAAGGGTTAAATAGGTCCATGTACTGTTCTGGATTGCTCAATTTATCCTCTAAACTCACAAAATTCCAAATTGAACTCAATAAAAACTTCAAATATCACTTTTTGCGGGTTACGACCCGATCACCTCCACGTCACCCAATAAGGTGCTAACTGTGCATGTGACGTGACAACTTAAGGGGTCAAATGAGCCTCTAAACCGGATTGAATTGTTCAATTCACCTCCATGACTTTTAAAAAAACATCAAAATTATGAAAAAAATAGAAATAAAAATTGAAAATAGAAAAGACAAATATAATAAAAATATAAGCCAAAATCATAAAATATTAATTTGAAATATTTATATATTTTTCAGAAAATGCAAAATAAAGAAATAAAATATAAACTAAAAGAAATTAATTCTTGAACTTTATTTTCAAATCATATATGTGTATTTTTTGTAAAAAAAAGTAATAGTTATGCGTACTTACAACATGTGTGCGTACGCGCACGGCGCGAGTGCGTGCACGAGGCGCGAGTGCGTGCGCTCGTGTCCACACAATGATTGCATATATATATTAGCTCACTTTATTTAGTATAAAGTACGCATAATTAGTATGTAGTACTTCGTATATATAATACGTAATAAATATTTTAATATATAAATATAATAAATAATATAAATATGTAGTTGATATTTTTATATGCAGAGTAATTTATATATTACTATAGATATAAAAAAGCGTAATTAGTAACTTTGAAAAATTATAGTTACATCAAAATAATAAATTCTTTTTATAGCTTACTTTATTTACTTTTTATATAAATTATTAAAAAATATGAAATGAAAAAAAAATAAAAATGGATATTGTAAATTCATATAAATTAGGGAAAACTGTCAGTTACACCCTCGTACTATGGGCGAATCCTCAATTGAGTGCTCCTACTTCGAAAATCTTCAATTGAATCCGCCAAGTCTCCAAAATCAATCAATTAGGTCTACATTACCGGTTGGTTCCCGGTTTGCCGGTTGCTTGCCTTCAATTGATCTAGCTAGGTTTTTTACTGTTTTTTAGATTTTTTTTAATTTTTTTTCTTCTCTTTTCTTTTTTCTTTTTCTCTTCCTCTTCTCTTTTCTCTTTCTTTCGTTCTTCCTGGCCGGTTCCTCTTCTGCTCTCCCAATATCCTGCTCCCCCTTCTTCTCTTCTTCCTTTCTTGTCTCCACCAGAAATCCGGTTACTTTCTTCCATTTTTGTTGCCTCCGTCGATTCCACTGGAACGGATTCCGCTGCTCCGGCCTCTCTAGCCACCAACTCTGCCGCCCAGCCTCCATAGCCACGTCTCCAAAGTCCGGCCTCAACCGCCATACACACCACACCGCCTCCGGCCACCACCTGTGTGGCTTCCCCTTCGCCTACTCCATTGAAACAACCTCCAATCGCGTCGGCTTCCATAGCCACCACCTTCGCCGTCCTTACCACCGTACCACCGCTTCCGGCTTCCACCTCCGCTTCTTCCATTGAAACGACCTCCAAGGCTCCAATCGCACCGGCCTCCATAGCCAGTTAGCCGCCACCACCACCACCTTCATGAATCAGCAGTTGCAGACGCGCAGGGAGATGCGGATGCAGGCAGATGCAAAGGAAATACCAAAAGAAAAAGGAAAAGAAAAAATAGAAAAGAGTAAATAAAAAAATGCCAACTGCATGTGCCACGTAGGCGGTCAATCCAATATATAACCGGTTGGTCAAAGTCCACGTCAGCGCCAGGAAGGCAAGCAACCGGCGAACCGGGAACCAACCGGTAATGTAGACCTAATTGATTGATTTTGGAGACTTGGCGGATTCAATTGAAGGTTTTCGAAGTAGGAGGACTCAATTGAGGATTCGTCCATAGTACGAGGGTGTAATTGACAGTTTTTCCTATAAATTATCAAACCAAAAACATAAAATTTGTGTTATATTACAAACCATTAGATAGAATACATAAAATCAAAATTTAAATATAATTGGTAGAAGTACATTGCTTATTTCATATATGAAATATACGTAGTAGTTATAAAATATGGAAATACAGTTAAAGATTTGTTTTAGTTTATACTTTATTTTTTATTTTGAATTTGCCACGAACTATAAATATTTCATATATATTTTATATTTTCGACATGTGTTTTATTTTATAGTTGTATTTTTATTTTTACTTTTTCAAAATTTTGATATTTTTTAAGGTTGAAGGAGTAAATTAAACGATTTGGTCGGGTCTAAGGGCTCATTTGACCCTTTAAGTTGCCACGTGATATGCACAATTGACACTTTACCAAATGACGTGGTTAGTGACTCCGGATCATGACTTGCAAAATCTTTTGGAAAATATGAAAATAATAATCCCAACTATTACCGGTCCGCTATTAATAATCTCAACTATCGATTATTCCTGGGTGGTCCCAACTATAGGGAGCATTTTCCAAAAATAGTCCCTAACCTGCTACAACCTGGTATAACAGGTCAAATTTAAATGCGAACTATGCATAAACTCTAAATAATCCCAACTATAGTTGATCTTTTTTATTAATCCCAATTATCAACACTCAACTTTAGAAAAATATAAAAAAAAATTATAAATTTTTAAATTAAATATTTTTAAACATGTAAAAATTATTATGAAAATTCTACAAATGTACCAAAGTTAAATAAATTAGTTTTAGTCATTTTTTTATTTATTTATTTTCGCTATTTTTTTTCTTTTTTCCAATTTATTATTCCCAGTTATGTGAACAAGTTATGATTTAGTATTATTTTCCTTTATTCAATTTTACAATTTCTGTTTTCAAAAAGCAAGATGTGACTAAATTTTTTATGATCGAAAGCATTATTCTAGTTTTTTCATAAAAATATATTTTATTTAAATTTTATGCTATGTTATTTCTAAAAATCTAAATTCTCTATTTTATCCATTTTAGTATTTGTAATTTCTTCTATTTTTTATATTATTATATGAAATAGTTTATCGTTCAATTTTTGTGATTTGAGGTATACGTTTTGGAGGTTTTGGCTGTTTTTAATGAAAATGTATTATTATTGTAAATTTAAATGATATAATGGAAATTGTAAAATATGTAGTGATGGAATATATGGTCCAGAAATTCCCGGCAGGTCCAGATGGGCCAAGCCCAACAAACATACGCATGATGTGCCTTCGGCCCCACGCGCCGAAGGCTTTAAACTCAGGAAACCTGGTCTAGAAACATCACCAAAGAATAGGGCTTGAAATAAGAGCCTTCCTCACATACAGCCTTCGGCATTAGGGACCCCCGGTGTGCAGGGCCTTCGGCCCTGGCAGATACGGCCGAAGGCACTATTCTCGACAAGATCTCCTCTCCTCATGCACTGAATCGCCGCATCAAGTACAACGTCACACCCAAACCACCGCATTGAATACGGCCACGTGCTATGGTCGGCGCCACCCTAGTTGAGTTCACCCTCCACCGTTGGTTTCTTGACACGTGTACCCTCGCTGATTAGATCTAGCATTTATAACTGCTATAAATAGCAGCCAATTTTCCCATTATAACACAACTTTCTATATCAAATACCTACTCTCTCTCTCTCTTACTTATTGCTCTGACTTCTCTCTAAGTTATTCCCCGCAATAACTCCTCGGATAAGTTACCCCCCTGGTACACCATCCATCATGTAGAAAATTAAAAGTGTATCGCTTAAAATTAAAATATTAATACATATTCATTAACATAGCCAAAACCTCCAAATCCTATGTCCCGAATCACTAGAATTCAATGATAAACTATATCATATAATTTATAGAATATAATAACATAAAATAAAGAAAATAGAAAGAAATAAAAAATACTAAAACTAAAAAATAGAGAATTTTTATTTTTACAATTAAGATAACATAACAATTTAATAAAATTGATTTTCATGGAAAAATCTAAAATAAAGATTTAAATCACAATTTTTTTAATCACAATATACTTTTTAAAAACACAAAATGTAAATTTGAATAAAGGGAAATAATACAAAATCATAACGTGTTAACAAAACTAGGAAAAATAAATTGAAAAAAGAAAAAATGAAATTTTAGTGAAAATAAATAAAAAATGACTAAAAATATTTTTATTTAACTTCGATACATTTGTAGAATTTTCATAATTATTTTTACATGTTTAAAAATATTTAATTTGGAAATTTATAAAAACATTATTATATTATTTTAAAATTGAGAGTTGATAATTGGGATTAATAAAAGAAGATCGACTATAGTCGGGATTATTTATAGCTTACGCATAGTTCACATTTAAATTTGACCTGCTATACCAGGTTGTAGCAGGTTAGAGACTATTTTTGG